CGTGGCCAGGATCAAACCCAGGCAGTGTGGCTGCAGAGCCCAGCCCCTTTACCACTCAGTGGTAACTGCCTCTCAAGACCTACTCCACTCATCTGCGAGCAAACAGAGTGTTCCTTTTGTTGAAGCCAGACAAGGTTGTTCATCGGCTAGTCAGACAAAGCGGGTCAGATTGTCCTGCCAGGGAAATGTCCTTGGAGAAATTGTCCTGTCTGGGAACAAACCTGGAAGGAATTTTCTTTTCAAGGAAAGGAATACTTGGTTTTATTTTACCTTTTCTTTCCCCCTCTTCTTCCCCGCTCACGTCACTGATAACCCCTTTCAAGATAAGGTCATCTGAAAATTAAATTAATGTTCTGTTCACCCCTTCTTCCAGGTAATTTAATAAAGACTGGTCTCAACCCTGAACACCCCGCAGTAAACCTATACGTGCTCCAGTAGACTGGCACAGGTGGTGAAAGGGGATTCCGTTCTTTGTAGACAAACTTGCATTTTCATTCTGTAGTGTCAAATAGGTGACCTCTTAGAATGTTTGTGCCTAATGCTTTTCTTACAACCCAAAACCCTGGTTATAAGTTTCAGCCCTCACTTCTCTATTCTTACTCGTTTTTTTCCAGTCCTCTGCTCAAGCTTCTCTTTATTTTTTCCCAATATTTTACTGAATACCATTGTACTGATGATCAAGAAATTCTTATTTATAATAAATAGACTCCAGTTCCTCATTTTCTTAGAATTTACATGAGGAAAGGTTATCAAAAGGAAGTGAAAGTTTTACTTTTTTTAACAATATGATTCTTCCCCCAACCCCCCAATTCTTGAACAGAGAGGTAGCAAACTTGTATTGGTCAGTCCTTTTGTGCCTGGTAACAGACAGTAGGGCTGCAGTCTGCAGGTCTGTGTGGTGTGGCCGTGTGCTGCCGACTACTGACCCTAGAGTCAGACTGCCCAGATGTTCCTCCTTTGCTCCGTCTGCGACCTGTGTGACCTTGGGCAAGTTGCCTGAGTTCTCTGGGCCTCGATTTCTTCCTTCCTTTTGGGAGGGAGGGGGCTCAATTTCTCTAGATGGAAAATGGAAATATGTCTCAAGTCATTGCAAGGATTACTTGAATTAATGTAAGTAAAGGATTTAGAAGCTGTTGTTTCCATGTGCTGTTGATGTTGCTGTTATTGAGGAAAAAATTGCTTTCCTTGTCACTGACTTGTGAAATGCTTCCTAAGCAAATATTATTTAAGTTCATCTTGACACATTCACATGGTTAATTTAGTATGATATGCTTTTGTTTTTCTGTGTGTCATTTATTGATTTTTTAAATTTACAAGCAATTTATAGCCAAGTCAAAGGAGTCTTTTTATGCCTCTTATGTCTTAGTCAGATGACACTAAAAAACAATCTAAATAAAGATGTCTTAAATATTTTTCTTTGCTTTCAAGAGTCAAATGTGTAAAGTATTCAAAACTCAATGTTTTCCTTGGGTTAGAATATTTTTGAATGCTTCTTTAATTTTAAGGAAGTCATTTTATTTATGTGTAAATACAGGAAAAGGCAGACACACCCATGGGTATTTAGGTACATTCAGGTGTATTGAGTAGCCATGCCTTACTCCCTCTAGAATGTACATACTGCCATCTGCTGGAAAAAGCTTTTGTACAACATCTAGGCAGTATTTTTTCAAAAATGTATTACTGTCAATTTTGTTTTGGATAAGTTAAACTACATCTTTTAATTAAAATTAAACACATTTCAAGGATGAGTCTTGACATCTCTCTCAGGAAAAACTAAGATGGGATGGTTGTTTTTCTAGGTCTTTTTGGGTGGATTATGAAAATACATCCACAAACCTTTAAAACATTTTACATGGGTACATGGGAGAGTGCTAAGGGCGGTTGTGGGGCCTTTTGCTTGATTTGAACAGCCCTGTGATATAGGCAGAGTAAGCCCAGTTATGATTTGCGAGTGAGACAGTGGAGGCGCCAAGAGGTCACATGAATAACAGGTCACTTGGTTCCTCCGTGGCATGGCTGCAAGGGAAGTCCAGGTCTTTGAATGCCTAATGCTGTGGTGCTGATTATTTCTCCAGCTCCCACCATATCCGCTATGACTCCAAGGGTAAAGGCATTGCATCCGAGTATTGACAAGGCCTGACAAGGTGAAAAGCAGCCAAATTATCAAGTTCATATTAAAAGTAAATCGTGTATAGGAAGCAACTTTTTAAACCTTGAAAGGCAAAACAGTGAGTGCTATCCAGTACTTTGCATAATACAGGCACCTTGTATTTGTTGATTTGTCATGCTGAAAGAATACTTTCTTCTATGTATAAATATTCCTGCCTTATATTCAGTTATTTCTACCCATAAAACCGAGGTACACCCTGTGATAGTTCCTTGAATGTATGCTGACTCAGAACATCCTGTACCTAATTTTGGTCCTGTCAGAATCCTGTTATCTAATTAGCTTGGGCTAATGGTGACTTTTGTTAAGTAAAACTTTTCTTTTGGTGAAGGGCAAATTTTTAAATGTCTTTTTATTCCATCGTATTATAATGTCATATTTTCATGAAGTGGATACTATATATTTGAGTAATATTGCCAACCTGAATTTTGTCCATTATACCTTCTTGGCACTGATTTTAAAATTCATGAAGTACAATGGAATTTACAAATTTAGGGGGATTATACATACATTCTGCTAATTCAGATATGACACTATTTTGCCGTTATTACCAACGCTTGTGAATTCTATGATTCCAAGATTTTCTGCTGTAGCTTTTTCCTGTAACATTTAAAAGCGGAGTTGTCACTGCTGTTCTGCAATGTCTGTGTTCCCTCCCTTCCATCACCTCTGCTCCAGAAATTCTTTCATTTTACTTAAACCTAACTACTTTCTTTAGTTTTAAGTTGTATTGTTCTTCTATTTTGTGTATTTGCTAACATTGCTTTCAGCCTTTTTTTCCACATTGATTATATTTACATTTCAGTTACGTTAACCTAAGTACATGCTGAGTGAAGCCATGTTGCTAATTCAGAACAGCTGCCTTACAAAAAGTCTCTTGGAACATCCATGAGTCTCTGGATGAATACATCAGTGGCGGGCCTGGCTTTGGACTTTTTGCTTTTATTGGCCTATATGTTAGGACTTCCTCGTTAGATAATTAACCTAGAAGAAGAGGGGGCATGCAGTTTTCAATTAGGCAACATGAGGTGTGGAGTCCAAAAAGGTCATAAGAAATCAGCCTTTTGTCCAGCATTCAATTTTTCCTTATATTTACCCAAAATCTACCCCTTGAACAGTGTTCGCTCATGGTTTTTAGATTTGTTTTATGTAAATACACAGAATAAATTGAACCCCTTTTCCATTTGGTGGCTATTATGTCGTCTTTCTAGGTTTTTCTTTCCTAGTTCCCGTAGTTTTATGTCCCTCCCTCCATCTCACTGAAGTTTTTATGAGCAGTTTGTTTGCATGAGTTAAATATTTTTATCCTTACCTACCCTGTAAGATAGTGATCTTATTATGCTTGTTTGATTGAAGCTCAGAAAATTAAAGACCACAAACAGTGAGGGGTTGACCCAAGGTATCAACTGAGGCTATTCGTGTCTAGGGTCAGGCTCTGAGCCACTGTGTCTCTGCAGTAATTCTTTGTGGGACACTTTCTCCAGGCTCTTTGCTCGTTGCCTCCCTCTGGATACGTCTGTGTTTATCAAGAACCCTTATATGACAGCAGAGACAAAAGGAACCCGACACTTCAGGGGTAGTCCGGCCTGTACGGGGACAACGTGGGGATGAGCTACCTACCTGCACACCTGACTGCATTTCCTTTCTCACTCCTTGGCTCACCTTGAGCAGGGTTAAATTGGGTCTTTCCATTCCATGCTTGTGTGTGCATTTGTACATGAATGTGCATATACGATGCATGCTTCTACTTAAAAGGACTGTACGTCTTGTTAAAGAACATTTTGTCAACTTTGGTGTACCCTAGGTTCGTCAGATTTTTTTCCTGCATTTTATGCTTTTTTTTTTGTTTGTTTCATGTACAAATTCAGTAAGTAAACCTTTAGTCTGCGTTTAAGGCATTGGTGTTTTAAGGCATTCTATGCAGTCCCATTAGATTCTGGAAATGTTTCATTTGAGATTTCGTGGTCTGTATCTTGGTCAGTGTGGCATTTCACAACTTTATGATTCATGAATTCTTTTTTAGAGTGTTCTGCCATTCTTGAGTTATATTTCTGTTTAAAGCCACGCTCTGACATTATGCCTGTCTCCTTTCTGTAGGTTTTTAGTTGGCTGCACTCACCATTCAAACCTGGATTTGAGTGAAAGTGCATTTGGTTCTCCATTCCTCTTTTAGTTACTGGGATAATGTTGGGCCCCCATACTGGGAAACAGCTAACTTTGTAATCTAGCCTGACAACCTCACCTTTCCCATTCCCTCTGGCATTTGTGAACCTACTAAGAATTCTTTATCACACTAATTTTGCACTAGGTTCTGCAGAAAATACAGTGACTGTCCACTTTGGATTTATATCTGCCAATAACTTATTGTGTTTTTATATGTCAGCTAATATCTACTGTCTTTCTCTTCCTCATTTGTATACAATTATCTTGGACTATGACCTCTGAGGTTGCTTAAATTCTAATATCTACAATTTTACAGTATACCATGTCACTTTTAGAAATTTCAAAGTCACTTTAAAAACTAAATAAAAGCAGTTACTCAGCTCTGCCTTTCTCAGCTCTATCCATGGCTGGCATTCAACTGATACGCACTTGCACAATCATATTCCCTTAAAGCACATCCTCTGTGTTCATGATTCTCCAGAGTTTACCAGCTCAGTAATTTACATTTCTAAAATTATTCCAAAGCTAAAGGTCAGTGATTTCATTTAAGAGTTCAGTTTAAACGAAGACTGCAGTACTTGTGATTACATGGAGGCTGATCCCTTAATTAGTAAGCATTTCACAAAGTCCTTTGTGTTGCTTTTCTTTTAGTAATTAGCTTTGTTTCTAGGTGAATGAGATTTACCACGACGAATCCCTCGGCGTGCACATCAATGTGGTCCTGGTGCGCATGATCATGCTGGGCTACGCGAAGGTAAGCTGTCTTAAAAGATGTGAGCCATGGACGTTAAGGACCAGGTTAGCAAACAGAAGATTAAAGTGTTGAAGCTATACCCAACATATGGCATAGAGAAGTCTCACGTAAACCTCAGCTGTGCTGAACTAAAGGGGAAAAATAACCACAGTGAGTGGAGCTCTCCAACTCTGAGCAGATAATGAACCATTTTTGTGTTGTGCGAGCCCCTTTGTTTTATTCTCTCTGATGGAGCTGTGGATAGTCACCCTGACATCAGACAAGACCATATGAATTAAAAAAATGGATACCATTGTGAGGAAAGAGGATTTCCTTCGTCTTATCATTTTATCAAATTTGTGATTTATTTATTCATTCAACATATAGAGTGTGTGTGTGTCAGATGCTTTTTAGGTGCTCCAAATATATCAGTGAAGAAAAATAACAAAGACCCTTGCCCTCACACAATTAGTTAAAGATAATATTTTATGTGTCTACCTTTCTGCTTAAGAAAAGTAAAGCACACAGTGAATATTTTCATTTGAAAGAGGCTTAGTCCTGCCCTGGCTAGTGTAGCTCAGTGGATTGAGCACGGGCCTGTGAAGCAAAGGGTTGCTCAGTTCGATTCCCAGTCAGGGCACATGCCTGGGTCGCAGGCCAGTTTCCAGTAGGGGACACATGAGAGGCAACCACACATTGATGTTTCTCTTCTACTCTTTCTCCTTCCTATCCCCTCATTCTAAAAAATAAACTTTAAAAATATTTTTAAAAATAAAGAGGCTTAGTCCTTTTGAAAACTAAAAGTTGGGTCAAAATGTACACAGTAGGCATTTCATGTGATGTAACTAACTGTAGTTAACTTTAAAATGACTCTAGGTATGTCCCTGTCCTTGAATAATGAAAAGGATGAAATGGTGTTTCCCTTTGAGGAGAAATTTTAGGGGAAGCGACTAACTTGACAGTTTCTTGATGTTTAAAATTATACATTCCCTCCCATAATTAATTGCTCCTGATTATGAAATACTAATGAAATTACATATTTAGCAAATAGAAACAATCCATATGCTTGCACTTCATTATGTATTTAACATACCCTTATTATCTAATGAGAGGGTGTCATTGATCTTGTTTATCCCATAAACCTGACTGACCGTGTCAATAACACTGAATACAAGTAAACTCCAGCTGGAGATTTTAACAGCCTTCAATTGGTTGTTAAATTTGTTTGGAGAAGTGTGTGATCAGCATCTAGCAAACCTAGCTACTTTTGTTAAAAATGTAAACACTGATAATAACATTCTCTGAAATATAACAAAACTCTTAGCCCATCAGCCAATTAGGGATGAATTTTGGGCTGCAAGTTCAATGTCTCATTCCATCAGAGCTACTCTTGGAGGTGTGCCTCCTGGGTTTTTGAAGGATGGGCTCTTTCCCTCTGAACTTTTAACTCCTGACCATAATGTGATAGTAACAACATTCCAAAGAACTTCACTCCATCTATTCGACCTATAAGTGTAAACCCCTCTTCATTGCTGTGAGCTTAAAAAGGGGTTTTTTTTCATTGTGAGGTTTATAGAATTTGACCACTGTTCATGAACTAAAGATTGAAGAACTTACATTCCTCTCATATGTTGATTAATTCTGGACAAAAGAAAAAAAATCTTAACTAAAGATCTTTCACTTTAACAGCTCTGGATAAAAGTCTCATGCCAGAATTGTTTCCTCTATTTTTATTCTCAATACCCATGAAATTAAAAATCTAAACTGAACTAGGAAATACTCAGACTGCTATAGGTCTGCACCAAATGACTAACATCGGTTGCCTCGCATTAGCAAGTCTCAGCATCACACACTCCCACGTATGTGTCGGCCACCTTACACACAGATAATGGCGAGTATCACAGAGATATCCTTCACAGGCACTTAGAGTTCCCAAACCAAAGTAGCTATTTAAATAAGTCCCTAATCATATTATCGAACATTATTTAAATGCTGTAGTCCCAAATGTTAACAGTGAAAGATATGTAAGCAAGCCTTTGGACAGATGTCATGTGTGCCTTCAACATACTGTTCCCTCGCAGTCCATCAGCCTCATAGAACGCGGAAACCCGTCCAGGAGCCTGGAGAACGTGTGCCGCTGGGCTTGCCAGCAACAGAAACCTGATCCCAACCACTCTGAACACCATGATCATGCAATTTTCTTAACCAGGCAAGATTTTGGACCTGCTGGAATGCAAGGTATTTCCATTAATATGTAGGGGGAAAGAACTTAAGAGCATGACTTTTCGAAAGTAATCCTAAATCAGGGAGTCTGTTCAAATGTTCACATCTCTACCTCCACTTTCCACGGTGCATCAGCCAAGCATACATTTTCTTTCTATTGCTTCCAGTGACTTCTGTGGAATTCACAATGTTAAATGCCACTTCAATACTGTAATAAATTATACTCGCCTTTAAAATAATGATTGTGCATTTGGGGCATGGAGGGGATGCTGTAAAATGCAGTGTGGGTTCCACTGAGTGTTTGGAAGGGGAAAAGAGATGCCATAGAACTGCCTGCTGCCAAGAGCTTTCTTCCAAAGCCAGCTTACATTTATCTAACAAATTCTGATGCCGGCTTTGGGAAAAGAAGACTGGCGGTTTTCTTTTCAATGTTGATGGAATTTCTGGCTCCCTTCATCGGTACCATGATATGAAGGACCATTCTGTACAACAGAAGGACGAGGCTTAGTTGGTGGGCAGACCAGAACGGTAACCCCGGGCAGTTCCTTCCCACAAGAGAGGAGAAAATGCAGACCCAGTGCATCTTTTCAGAGACGATTACCTGTGGCTTTCCCAAGAGAATGTGGCTAGCAGTGAAATAATACTGCCTCTGTTTCCTGAAAAGCTCCCCACCCCCTAGGCAAAGGTCCAGTAGTAATTCTTAATGGGTTTTCTCATAAAATGAAAATAAAAGTAATTGTTATTCTCTACAGGATATGCTCCAGTCACAGGCATGTGTCATCCAGTGAGAAGCTGTACCCTGAATCACGAGGATGGTTTCTCATCTGCTTTTGTAGTAGCCCATGAAACTGGCCATGTGTAAGTCACTGTCAACAGCTACAAAGCCAAGAAAGGTCTTTTCTTCCCTGCTTCTCTCAGTATTGTTCCTGCTTTGGGCACAGTGCATGCCTGCATGCGGCTCTCGTCCCTTGCCAAGTGTGAGGAGCTGGAAGCAGTGGAGAGGTCATGCTCTGAAACCAAATGAGTGACTAGCTTGCAGAGACACCCTGCTATGAAATACGAAAGACCTTTCTGTTCGATTGCTCTCTGTTTCACAATTCCTGTGACTTTTCCACAAAAGCCATGTTAACTTAAAAAATAGGTATTTTCCTGTACAGTAAGTCCTTACTTAACATCTTCGATAGGTTCTGCAACTTCATGCAACACGACTTAAAACAAAACCAGTTTTACCATAGGCTAACCAATAGAAACAAGAGTTAAGTTGCTGTGGCATCTCATCCACATTCTAAGGAAACCGCATTAAACAGAACGACTTAATTTGAGGACCGATGGCATTTATTTTTAAGACAGAAATTAAGCAGATGCCCGGCGCCTGTGATTCTTACCAGGGAGCTCTCCTGTGTGTTCCAGGCTGGGCATGGAGCACGATGGACAAGGCAACAGGTGCGGCGAGGAAACCGCTCTGGGAAGTGTCATGGCCCCCCTGGTGCAAGCAGCATTTCACCGTTACCACTGGTCCCGATGCAGCGGCCAAGAGCTGAAAAGATACATTCAGTATGTCCCTTTCTGCATGTTGCAAGAGCATTGGTAATATAAAAGAAATACAGGCGTGAAAATGACTCTTAGGATCTTGTTCATAACAAAACTCCCAGTGACTGAAAACTGTTGTTCATAGTAAACATTTCCCTGCAACCCAGAGCTTTCGGCACAATGATTCTATAATATCACAATATTTTAAGTCATAAGCCTAGAATTTAAGTGATTTTTTACTGTGAATTTTTAAAGTAAATTTTTTCATAATCTTAGATTAATGGTTAAATTTGAGTAGAGGTTAAGGAGCAGGTTTTTGAGAAAGGTTTAGACAAAAAATCCTTTAAAGGAATGCTTTTGTGACCTTGCTCTGTGATCTAATGAAATTCCAAAGTATACAACCTAAGGATACTTTTGTTGCCAGTGGGACATGATTAAAGAATGGGACATTTCACTACATGTGATGTTTTCCTTCCTGCAGTTCCTATGACTGTCTCCTTGATGACCCTTTTGAACATGATTGGCCCAAACTCCCAGAACTTCCTGGAATCAATTATTCTATGGATGAGCAATGTCGTTTCGACTTCGGAGTTGGTTATAAAATGTGCACTGCGGTATGTTTCTCACAGTCAATTTAGATCTTGTATCTTGAAATCTATTTGCATAGCTCCTGTTTGGGGAGCTCCGCAGACTCACTGGTGAGTCTCACTCACTTGTGGGAATTTCTTCCAGTAAGTTTGCATTTGCCAGGTCACTACCTGTTAAAGTTAAGTGCTTTATGTATACTGTCTTATTTAGTCCTTGTGACAGACTAGATGGGAGTTGGTATACTCCCTATTTATTTATTTGTTTATTTATTTATTTATTTTTACAGATGAAAAGTTGAGGTTTACAGAGATTAAGCAACTAGATTAAATGAGACATCTGATAAATGGGGGAGCTGGACACTGAAACCAAGGCCGTCTGGCTCCAAACTACCCTGTTGCTCCTTTGGTTTTTGTGACCTTTAAAGATGACTTTTAAGCATTAGACAGGTTGCTTTTCATCGGTTTTTTGGCCACAATCCTATATAGCTGTGACCCCAGGGAAGGGCGGAGCTGGTTCGAGCTCCTGTGAGAATCAAGAGGCAGAGCAGGGGGTCAGGAACTCGGGCTTCATCGTCAGACTGCTGGGTCCTAGGGCCCTGGTCCTGGCACTTGCCGGCTGTGGAATTTCTAGCACCTTCTTTACTTTCTCTGTCTTAGTTTCTTCGTGTATAAAATGTGGATAATGATAGTGTTTCTCTCATAGAAATAGATCAGGGTTCAAGTCGATAATGAACTGAAGTGCTTAGTATGATGCAGGCACATAGTAAATACTCCATGGAATCCAGTAGCCAGCCTTCTATGTAGCTATTTAGATTAGAGGGATGTTTTATTAAGTTTCTATGTTGAGATTAGTAGTTCATAAAAAAGGGGGCACTTTTTAAGTGCTGGAGCAAACTCTATGTGTTAGAGCAAAAAAATTAAGTATTTCATGGTACTGAAAATCAGTGATACGCTGTTTGAAATCTTCCATATGCAGATAGCTACAACCATTTGGACTGTCTGTCAACTATACATTGTCAGCTCCTAATCACCGCTATTAATGTTTCTACCTGAAAATTCTAAAACCGGGGCTCAATATGGTGGGAAAGTACAGTGTCTGAATTAAATAATAGGAATTAGAGCAAAAAACCCAAGTCCAAAATGAGAATTAATTAAGAAAGAGCTCTGACCACAGGCTCTGTGTAATTGGTGGTATAGCCAGTGACATGCAGGTAAATTGGTATTTGATAATTTGCAAAAAATCTATCTAAGGAGTAGTAAGATGTTTACAGTTAGAAGGACAGCAGACAAGTAAAAAACACACACAAATATGTGTGCAGACACACACTTTGGGTACTGTCATGCGGTGTTTTAGTAAAATAAAAAATATTGTTAAGACTGAGAAAACTAAGATTCTAGTTGGGTTCTTTTACTGCCTTACTTGTAACAATAACTACAGCCTTACCTTGTAACCCATATATTCTCAGCCGTGGACTGTTATGAGGCTCCAATATATGGATAGTATTTTATAAACCACATGAATGTACTATCATAGTTTATTGTACCCAGAATACACTATCTTACATAGAAAGTTTGACAAATATTTCCTGCTTCTAGTCAGCTCATTATGATGGGCATTTTTATTACTTATATCTGACTGGTTCATACTTACAGGGGTTAAGAGGAGCCATTTTGATAGCTTGAGAGCTGCAAAACCATTATCATAAGTTAACATATTTAAAATGTTCATAATAATTACTTTTTAAAATTCTAATATTATCTATTTGAAAAGCACAAAATAGAAATGGCATGCAGAAATATTAAGAGTCAACTAGAGAATCCCAGACAAATCATTGTTTATCACCATTATTTTAGAAAAGCAAATTAAAAATAGTCTCTACTTGGAATTCTTAGACGGTAGTTTTTTTCTCATCATACCTCAACCTTGACTTTAAATTTAGCCTGAAGTTAAAATATCCAAGGAACATAATGTGAAGAAATTGTGTAGAAGATATTGTTGGTACATGTCCTGCCGTCTGCATTTTATTGAGATTTTGATTCTCTCTCTTCCAGTTCCGAACCTTTGACCCATGCAAACAGCTGTGGTGCAGCCATCCTGACAACCCCTACTTCTGTAAGACTAAAAAGGGGCCCCCACTTGATGGGACTGAATGTGCTGCTGGAAAAGTGAGTCTCCCCATACCATGCAGATTTAAGATATGGGGCGTAATAATCACCTTTAAAAGTCTGGGAAATGATGAACATAGTAGCTGTACTGTCGTTTTTATGAATACCATAGTACATGAGGTTGCATTATGATAATGTACTAACATTGTGTAGTAGTTTCCAAGGACCCCTGTAACAAATCACCAGAACTTTGGTGCCTTAAAACAACCGAAGTTTACTTTTTCACAATTCTGGATGCCAGAAGTCCCAAATCAGTTTCACAGATCCAAAACCAATGTGTGAGCAGGACCATCCTGTCTCCAGAAGCTCTGCTGGAGACCCTGGCCTTGCCTCTTCCAGCATCCAGTGGCTGCCCCCATTCCTCAACTTGTGTCTCCATCACTTCAGTCTCTGACTTCATGAACACATTGCCCCCTTCTCGTCTTTTGTGTGCAAGTGCCCCTCCATCTCTCTCCTATGAGGATACACATGATGGCATTTAGGGCCCATCTGGATAATACAGGGTAATTGCTCCTCAAAGTCCTTAACTTAATCATCTCTACAAAGGCTGTTTTCCAAATAAGGTAACATTTACAAATTCTAGGACCTGCCATCTTTGAGACCCCACTGTTCAGCCCACTACAGATAGACTGGGAAGCAGCAAGCAGCCCAGTAGAACATCTGGGACTCTGTGAATGGGATTTGATTTACTTGCTGGCCTCCCTCTCCTTGTGCAAATATCCAGAAATAAAGTCTTGAGAATTTATACAGAAGATTTGGCCTTGCTCCTTGGGGAAAGAAGCCCAGAGGTTTTAAATCTCCAATTGTGCAGTCAGGATTGAATGCTCTGAAACTGGCTAAGTGCCAAGCTACCTTACTCCTAAGGGGAAAGGTCACCCATCCCCCAACAAAGGCGTGTTAAGAACTCAAGTTGAAGTGCCTTGATTAGTTTGGAAATAAGATATTGTAGACAGGACAAAAGCTGGCAAAGAAGATTTATATAGCTTTTAGTTCTTTTAAAGCCCTTTAAAGCTCCATTTTAAATGTGTATAAACTGTACTTGCAATGAGGATTACAAGCATAATTAATAATAATAATCTGCCACTATTCATATTTAAGCTTCATTAGTCACTATGCTGAACAGATTACATACCGTGTGCTGCTGTGGGAAAATCTAGTATTACAAACTTTTGACTAAAAAGAGCAACAAGGAGTTGATTCATTTTTGCTTTATAAAAAAGATAGCCTCCAAGTCAACTCCGAACATCAACTTCCCTAAACACATTTGTATTATATTTAAATTTACCAAAGTGGAGTTTTAAGAAACACTTTTATTGTATGTAGAATGAAGAAACAAGTCAAAGTGTTGGAAGGGAAAAGGCCTCAGACCTGCCGTGTGCCGAGCACTGTGAGCAGGGGCCCAGACGCAGTCAGGGTTCCAGTAGTTCCCGCTCAGTCACTGCCTGGTCGGTCAGACAGTCTCCTGTCACTCGTGCTCCTTTCTGGGGCCCAAGGTGCCATGTTTCCCGCTGTGAAAGCTAGGTGTGCAGATCATTTTTGTTGGTTATGTTTGATACTCACTCATAAATGTAAAAACTCATCAGAATGAATTAGTTATTATTTCACTTTTATAGTTAAAAATGCAAGTCTAAATTACCCTTTGTATAGGGGCTCTTATTTTTATAAATACTTTTGGGTAATGTTAGACAAGTTTCCACCCGGTGAGCACGGCAGGGAATGAAGCCCTTCCATTTCTCATGTACCAACTGCAGCTTCAGCATAGTAATGATTGTCATACTTACCAGCTTTTGTCACTTTCCTAAGTGGTGCTATAAGGGCCATTGCATGTGGAAGAATGCGAATCAACAAAAGCAAGATGGCAACTGGGGGTCATGGACCAAATTCGGCTCCTGTTCCCGGACGTGTGGAACGGGCGTTCGTTTCAGAACACGCCAGTGCAATAATCCAATGTGAGTATGGCCCCTGTAATTCCAGTTATTTTTGTATAGGCCAGAAAATGTTCCAGTGCACTGTTAATTCTGTTTCCTTTTGTCAAATACATTTAAAATACAGAACATGAAAACTAAGGGTTTAACTGTCTATTTGGGGTAAAACTCCATTTATCAATTTTGTGAAGAGTAGTCAATGGTGAAGATGAGAACTCCAGTGAACATTACAGATTTTGAAGGAATCGCTATTTAGGAATATTAGGAAGCTGAGCAGGGGAAGCCCTGAGATCCACTGTAAGAAGCACAGGTGTGTCAGGGCGGGAGCAGCACCAACCACAGATGCTCACTCACTCGGGGTCGGGGGGCGTGCTTCTGGGTGGGGCAACCAAAAAGGGTGGTGAAGAAGGTCAGGAATTGTTGGGGGAAGCTATTCATTTATTCACTTGGACTAAATTGATCGAATCCCTCTAGCATGCTCAAGAAAATATATTTTCTAAGGGAAAAAATAACCAAAATATCAATCTTCAGACATTCTTCCTTGTCTGGAGTTTAATGTGTGAGCAGCGCTGTGTCTCTGGCAGTAGGATGGCTCTGGGCACGATGTCCTTTATAAGATGGCATGTCACACACCTGTCCTCCCAGGAAGAGATGATGGTCGTATTGGCGGCAGTCACAAAAACAATAAAAATTACCGTAGTAAGAGCAGCTACATTTCACTACGGGCCACACTCTAAGTGTTTTAAATATGTAACCTCATCCAGCTCTCTCAGTTTTTCTCTTAAGGAAGAAAGGATGGTAAACTGAAGCCTAGAGCTGTGGTAATCTCTTTGAGTTGCTCCTACGTGTTTTGTGCATGGTAGAAAACAAAAATTTCCCTAGCCTATATTTTTTTCTTCTTTATATACCATTTACTTCTTTATATACTTTGCCATGCATTTTAAAATACACAGTTTAAAAAGCCATTTTAAGTTGAGTTTTGGGTCCACCCTCTTCCTCCCCACCCCCCACCCCCAGGGAGAGGATGGTGCTTTTCAAAAGGGATTGAAACTAGGAAGTATGAGTTTATTCACTTGGTGCTGGCAGCCCAGAAACGCTGGCTTTCTGCCTGAACTCTCTCAAGCACTGTGTCTGCAAGCTTCAACTGCTGGACTGGAGCCAAGAGGCCTTTTTTTTTTCCCCCAAAGATTTTATTTATTTATTAATTTTTTTAGAGAGGGGTAAGGGACAGAGGAAAACATCAGTGTGTTGTTGCCTCTTGCACGCCTCCTGCTGGGCACCTGGCCTGCAACCCAGGCATGTGGCCTGACTGGGAATCAAACTAGTGACCCTTTGGTTCACAGGCTGGCACTCAATCCACTGGGCCACACCAACAGGGGCCAAGTGGCCTTTTTAAATGTTGTCTTTTCTTTAGGCCCATCAATGGTGGCCAGGATTGTCCAGGTGTTAATTTTGAGTACCAGCTTTGTAATACAGAAGAATGCCAAAAACACTTTGAGGACTTCAGAGCACAGCAGTGCCAGCAGCGTAACTCCCACTTTGAATACCAGCACAGCAAACACCACTGGATGCCATACGAACATCCCGAGTGTGAGTAGCGGCCTGCTCCTTTCCTCCTGCACCTGTGGTGACTTCGAGTTTATGCTCTGTCTTCACCATTCCTTTGGACTCTCGATCCCTACTTGGTAACTTAGAAACCTTGGTGCTTACGGGGGTAAGTCCTTCTGGGTTTCCAAGAATAAGGCTAACATGCTCCTTTCTCGAAAGAGGTGAGAATTCTGGAACAGTTGTGGCAAGTAGCACTACCCCATCACTACTGATAGGACCAAGGGAAACCGATCAAAATGAAAAGCATGGAAGGGATGTTGAGTGTTCCTCATTCAACAGAAATCCCTCTTCTAGGAAATGCTTCTGGAATATTGTGATCTGTCCTTTCTGAATAACTAAAGGAAAATGTAGTTATTTTACAATGGGGTCAATAGCAAGAAAAAGACTACTATTTAATAACAACAGAAACTTCATAACTTTTTTACTTTTGTACTGTATGCTAGTTATCAAAAAAATACACTTGGAGGCTCCCTTCTAACCCTTAATTTGTTATATATATTCAAATGAAAATGCCTCATCGTATTTATTTCATTGAATACAAAAATAGTTACATGATTATCATACAATATAATACACTGCTGAGTTCAGTTGAAAGCCGTTTTAAAAGAAAGATGCATCCATGTTGGAATTCGAAGGTACAATGCATGAATAAAAATGCATTTTTTAACCTATTTTGGTCAAGTAAGTCACATAAATTATAATAAATTTAATGAGGTTACACGAAGTCAAAAACTTTACTAGCTCATTGAGTCAAATGAAAGAGAAACTCTTTCGGCACTTGACGCATCACTGAAAGTAAAGTGGTTCTGATTTAAAGTTTTTGAAGAGCTGTAGTTCAGTCTAGGGTTGCCATGCCCCCCCCACCTCCCCCTGTTTTGCCTGGGAGAATCCCAGGTTAAACCTGTTGTCCTTTTAGAGTAAGTAATAGAGCCCTTATTCACTCTCAAAAGTATCCCAGTTTAGATGTTAAATCAGATGGTCACCCTGGTTGAAAAAGTATGCTAGGTATATATAATTTCCTCTCCTCTTCATTTATTTATACCCTATTTTGTTTTCAGGAAATCACACGAAAACTTTGTCCTTAAAAAATAAACTATACTGTGAAATACACTATTTTATATAAAGAGTTGACTTAATTTTCCACCTTATGCAGCCAAGAAGAGGTGCCACCTCTACTGCCAATCCAAAGAGACAGGCGACGTCGCATACATGAAACAGCTGGTGCACGACGGAACGCGCTGCTCTTACAGAGACCCGTACAGCATCTGTGTGCGCGGAGAGTGCGTGGTAAGGTCCCGGCAGGGCCACGCCGTTCTGCTTTAACTAACGTTCATCTGCGTGTTTTCAAAGTTTTTAAACTGTTTCTTATCTGTGAAATCACATTAGGATGTGAATATATGAGTAGTTCAGTAGCTAAACTAAATCTGGAAGAAACAGCACTTAATAGAATCAAACTTTGCTCACTGGCCGAATGAATATTTAAATACAGTTTTCCTCATACTGAGCCAAGTTACTCTGATGTTTGTTGGTTGGGAGCACAGTTTGGGAACAAGGCCTTTGTTTTCAGAATTTCAATGTTAGATGTGTTTTATCTTTTCTTTAAGAGATAATTCTCTCCGCTCACCTTCCAGTTGATTTTAAGCTTAAACATTGAATTTAACATCTGAACCAAAGAAGTGAAGATGTAAAACCTGTGTTTTTATGTTATTTAATCTTTTTAAATGCAGTTTATTTTCTTATTCATGTTCATATATCACGTTAAGTTGATATGAAATTACCCTTTTTAATAGTTCATTGTATTTTTCTGTTACAATTTATCACCCCCATATCCTCTTCCACCTCCACCCACCCCCCGCCCCCGCCATCACCGCACTGCTGTCCGTGGCCATGAGGTTTCCGTTGTTGTTCAATCCCACCACGCCGTGTGCCCCCAGAGCTGTCACCTGATATATCCTTATTAAATGAACCCATTGCTTCTTCCTGTTTGACTCATTTTCACTTCAGAACAACTTGTGTTGTATTAATGAATCTTAAGTGTGCAGATGCCTCATAGTTGGTCTGAAATTTTCCCGAAAGTGCACTCAGGGGTTCGTCCATCTTTCACCTCCCAGTGAGGATGTGGGGTCAGTAGTCCCTCCGCACACTTTCATCCTGCACCTACCAGCGCAGTGGCATGTCACCTGTCATTCCCCTGCACTGATTTACGTTCAGGAGCTGCCCCAGCTCAGAAAACCTTCAGTTGTTCCCTGTTCAGTTAATGTGAAAATGTTTCTCTTCCTCTGATACTCAAGGCCTTTCACAGACCATGCTTTGCACAGTTTTCACTCTGCTTCCCCTGTCACACCACACCAAATTTCCACTGGTTTAAAGATGGTTAAATATTGTTTTGTGACCCCACTTTCCATAAATATTCAATTTCCATGGCTGTTTTAATCCCTCTGCATTTTTATTTTAATCCTTACCCAAATATATGTTTATTGATTTGAGAAGGAGAGAGAGAAACATCGATGTGAGACAGAAACATTGATTGGTTGCCTTCTGTACACAGCCTGACCGGGAGTTGAACCTCCAGCCTTCTGGGGTACAGGGTGATGCTCCCACCACCTGAACCACGTGGCCAGGGCACTCCCTTTGCATTCTTGAAACACATTTCCACACACTTGATTCCTTCAGGGACCTATGAAAATCTCTACCACTTTGGTGGAGTTTGTCTTACATACCTAGCAAACTTGTAAAGCTTGTACTGAATGTACAAGTCACTATTTCATTATTCATTTTATAAATATAAAAGCAACCAGGAAAAAACACCAACTTACTTTTGTCTTCTCAGCATCTACTACAACATCTGTGCTTAATAAATGTTTAATGATAATGACTATGTATAATGGTCATTAGACTAGGGGAAGTTCATCCCAGAATACAATTTAACCTGGAACACAAGTCATTTGATTGCATAGTAGTTCTTTAAATGATTGAGGTATTAGAAATCAGGGTTAGAACAAAACTTTGGTGCAAATGGCCTCACTGTGGGTTCCTGATTAAACAAGGTCATCATGCTCTAGGATACTAACCTTGCCTTGACACATTAAAATTAGCCACATTTAACATCTTTCTGCAGAAAGTGGGCTGCGATAAAGAAATCGGCTCTAACAAGGTTGAGGACAAGTGCGGTGTCTGTGGAGGAGATAACTCCCATTGTCGAACTGTGAAGGGGACCTTCACCAGAACTCCCAGGAAGCTTGGTAAGATGCAGCCTTTGATGAATTTAGCATCTCTCTCTCTGATCTGTATTTTTCGAGACTTCTTTTAGGAATGCAGCCTTTTATCTATAAACATAATAAAATATTAACTGCTGATTTATTTTTATTCAGATGACCTTTAAAGGAAAAGTTTTAAAAAACGTTGAATTCATGTCTATAGCATTCGAAAAAAATTATCTACTACACTTTGATAAAGAACAAATAAATCACTACCAATTACAGTAGTTGGCTAAAATCTTTGTTTTATTTTGCTTTTAATAAAATGCATTAGACCTAATTATTAGAATTGGTGCTTACTTTGAATTTTTTGTTGCACATAAATTGTTAATCAGAAGTTAAAAAAACACAAAACTTTAGATACAACTTATATTATCTTTGCTTCTTTTATTTTAAATGTGACCAAGTTTTGCCTGTTTATAAATCTACACATCTAGGGCCCATATTTCACATAACTTTGAAAATTTTATATTAAACAAAATTGAGGTACAACCAAAAATAACCTGAGATATAATTTCTCATGGGTGTGAAGTTTTGTGCTTTTTAAACAATCAATGACCTGTTCTTAGGCATATAGGAAATTTCAACAGATGGAACAGCAACAACAACAACAAAATAATATGCAAAAATATTAACAGTATTATAACTATCCATTTGAATTTTTATTTTTTGAATTTTTATAAAATACTTAGATACAGACATTTATTAAACTTTTTGAGTTTATTACAAATATTTAATTATTCAATAAGCATTTATTGGACAAATGTTTCTGACAGTTCTGCACTTAAAGACACATTTGATGTGGTGCTTCCCTTGAGAAACTTCTCTTCCATTACCCAAAGCCCTGTCAGTATCCCGTTGTCCTTTATAGAATGATGGAAAACAAAATAAAACAAAGAGTTTTGGTTTACTTTGACTGAGTACATTGTTGTAGTGGTAATTTTCCCTTTTAGAAGAAAAGAACATACAAAAAAGTTGGTCTTGATCCAAATGGAATAATTCTCTTAGTTCTCTTTATTCTCACTACATCTCAGCTGCCCCACTCAAGCCAGTTCCACAACACCTGCATTGCTCTTTGATGTACTTATGGTGGTGGAGCTGGGAAGCCATTCTAATGTGTTTTTCTTAGGCCTGCCTTACCCCAGTAACGGATATCTGTTATTCCTGTGTGGTAATTTACTATGTTTTGTACTTTGAACATTGTTAAAAAGCAAATATTGCCATTTCCAGCTGGTTACATTATTTTAATAAAGTAAACAGAATTAGAATGTTGTATATAATGTTTTGGTGGAGTAAAATGTAATTTTACCCATCTCTTTATGAAGTAATTTATGGTGCTTTACTGTAGTTGTATATTTTTATTTTAGATGTAAAGTAATTCATTTTGTTTGTTTCCAGTGTGAATGAATATAATGAAAAAAGTTTTTGCCATTCTCATTTATTCTATATATTGTGTGTAATATGAGGTAGTGATTTTTTTTCAGATACCTCAAAAATTATGCCAAACCTGCAAATCAAGTTTGGATGAACAGAAGAAAGCTTACACCAATCAAACAGATTTAAACTGTTGAAAGATAATCTAACATCCATTTCTATGCACTAAGGCTGTTATTATAGTCATTCAAAGACTAATTAACATTTTCCAACAGGGAAACATTTAAGCAAGAGGTGCCATAAAGAATTGAAGTTACTGGAAAATGAAATCTGCAAGTATTCAACTTCAAATCACCTATATCATTTCTCATTCATGCTTAGTCTTACTTTCATTGACTATTAACACTTTATTGGCATTAGCTAATTATTATAAATGCATTTTGACTTCAACATATAAAACTACAAAACATATTTTTAACTTACTTAATAATACATATACATATAGCTTATATAGTCAATGAAACAACAAGACTTTGACAAACATGAAACCTCCACTAATGAAAGACATTCTATTTAAGGGAAAACGAGAGGCGCCTTCACTTTACCCAAAGGAGCTCGTAATATTTCTCTTGCTGAAACAAGGGAAGCTAAGAATGTCCTGGGTAAGTTGTAGCAAACTGCAGAAAGATGGGCGTCCATAAACGGCATCAAGCTGTTTTGCTGTCCTAGACATCTTACGCGTGTTACTCGCAGCCATTGAACACTAGGCAAATGTGGTACTTTCCATGCATTGGACTTTCCCCCGGCTCAGGTGCCCAAAACTCAGACCCCAAAATCACTATTCCGTTTAGTTAAGCCATTAATGAATATTGTGCCTACCCATAGGTAGCTAGTAATTGTCTATATACAAATGACAAACATGTTTCTCATTCCATCAGCAATTATGAGTTTATAACTGAATTTCTGTCAATACTCATCCTGTGGTATATGAATTGGATGTTTTATAAGGTATTAGTTGCATCATCTTCTGATATTTGCTTATTGTTTGATGGAAATGAGATATAACACTTCATTTCTCTATTTTGCCCTATTGTTGATGTGTAGCTGAGATCTTAATTCTAAGTGATCTTAAGATAAATTTTAGAACCTGTGATAACACTAAGAAAGTGTATTATGTATGAAATTGACTATAACAGGATTGATAATACGATTTTAAAACCCAAGCCAAGCCACTGAGCACATTTAATTAATTAATTAATTAATTAATTTGCACTAGAAGCTTGAGGCCAGGGTGCATGTAAAGGGTATATTTGACCACCTGCAGGCATTTTCCAACCAAATGGTTTGGTCAAATTTATACCATATACTTCAGCACATTCCCACTATAATACTTGTTGAAAGCTTAAAATTTATAGCTTATCACAAGAAAAATGCTCGCTGATTTTCCTTTTGTAATTTTTTAGAATAGGGCAGGTCTTAAATATTAAGATATTTTATTAATTAGAAGTTTAGCTATTTACATTTGCTACTTAGGCTTTTAATATAATATATAGGCTGATATAATATTTTCAGAAGTTCAATTAATATTCTAAAAATCAGTCCCACTTTAAAAGAGCAGTTTATAAAACTAAAAATCACATAGAAAGACACAGGAAAGTACAGAATTTGCCCGAACTGTTGTTGATACAATTCACAGGTCAACACAAAATAAATGGCTGAGAGATTGGAAAGATTAACTCCTTTCTTCCTCTTTATTTTTTTTTTTGAAAAAAGGTTTCCTCTAATCTCATGCCAGATGTCACACAAGCTACCAGTGCTTTGAAGTTGATGTCTGAAACTGCTTCTTTCAGTTTATGTATGCCCTCTTCTGCATGCAGGAGCAGTGAGACCGTAGTGCTCAACTAACCGTGGTTGTTGCTTTTGTTTTCTCCTTTGCTTCCTACAATATTCACTACACATGCAAAGGGTACCTTAAGATGTTTGATATCCCCCCTGGTGCCAGGCATGTGTTAATCCAAGAAGACGAGGCTTCTCCTCATATTCTTGGTAAGTGTTTCTAACTGCTGCCTCTGCTTTAACATGCACTTAAATATGGAAATGTCAAAGAATCCTATCTATATATAGATATATATGTGTAGGTGTGTATATGTATATATAGATATATACATAGATGTACATATGTATACATAGATGTGCAGGATTCAAGTTATATACAAATGCATTATTATGTATTGTTGGGCAGTTCTCCTAAATAGTCTTTCTTTAAAACAAGAAATATTCAACGTTAGAGCTTTAGTTTCTGTTGAAAGCTCAATTGGTTCATTATTACATGAAGAAGAAATCATTTGACAAATGTGTACATTTGCATATTTGCTCTGCATTAGGGGATAAGAAAAATAAATGTTAAAATGCACCAAATTATGGATAATATCAGAAAATTTGCCGTATTTATTTTGACAAATTAGTTCTGATATTTTGGTTTATGCCATACTATATGTCTCTCCTTACTTTCATAGCACTTTAAGTTCTTTGACTAAACATCAACCACATGTGAGTTATACTAGTCTAATGAAAATTTTCCTAATATCTGTTATGTGTCCAGTTTCTGACTGGTACATGCAGATCCATTTGCATGGCTGTAATTTCCAAAAGAAGATTCTTTTCCTTCTTTATGAGGGGATCATGTAGAAATGTACTTCAGAGTGTATGTACAACTGCAAGTATAACTTTCACATTGTCTTTGACCTATTAAAGCACTAAGATTTCCAAAACTAAGGCGTCATCTGTCAACCCCATTAAAATTTGTAGAAAGTTATTTTTTAAATGTGTGACTTAAAAAATGGTATTTCATAGAATTTTTAGCATTTAAATTATATTCTCTACTAGAGTCCATGACAGTCTGGCAATAAGCTGGAATTTTAATTACTGGAGTTTTTTTTCCCCAGTAATTAAAATTCATTATTTTTCATCCTTAGCATTCAGATTACTTATTATCCTTTGAAAAATTAGACTAGTTTAGAAACTCACTAAGAATCAATCTATTTACCTTAAATTACTCATGTTTTCTGTATATTTGCAGTAATGATGTTAATATGAAATTTTATTTTATGAAATTTTATTTTCTACATCATTTATATGCTGATAAATAGCTCCAAACTTGAAGATTTTGTTTATTTTTATTCATTATTTTATTTTATAGTACATAGTAGATCTATAATACATTATGAATTCTAGCCATTAGCCCCATCTGGTGTGGCTCAGTGGATCAAGTGCCGGCCTGCAAACCAAAGGGTCACTGGTTTGATTCCCAATCAGGGCACATGCCTGGGTTGCAGGCCAGGTACCCAGCAGAGATGGCATGCAAGGGAAACACACACTGATGTTTCCCTCTCTTTTTCCCTCCCTTCCCCTCCCTCTAAAAATAAATAAATATTTTTTAAAAAAAGAATTCTAGCCATTAAACAGCTTTACTGGCTATATAAGTAGAGAATGTGACCTTGGAATTGATATAGTCATAAGAACTAAAAATAAGTTCAGTTATGTTTAATGCCTATAAATATTTTGACTAACTTGAAAGAGATACACAGTAAATAAGCCATTATGTTACATGCAGAACTAACATATATGATTTGCATTAATTATTATAGAAGTATGCCTTATTTTCAAAATATTCCTATGTTTTTGAGGAGATGTATAAGATTGGATGAGTTTAAAACTGTTAACCTCTTTGGCAAATGGGAACATTTCCTAATTTTTATCTTCAATGTAAACTTTTTATTATTGCTTTTGACTAGTTAGAAATCCTTCTTGAGGATTTAAAAATACCAATTGAAGGAAATGGGACTCATATCAGAGCTAACACTCATTCTCATTTGTTTGATGCTAAGAAACAGTCTTTGATTTAGAGAAGGAGACAGATAAACTTAATAAAGATCATCGAGTCTGGAATATGATAAAACAAAATGTCTGCTGGTTCCTCATTTTCCTTCCTTTAGCTATTAAGAACCAGGCTACAGGCCACTATATTTTAAATGGCAAAGGGGAAGAAGCCAAGTCACGGACCTTCATTGACCTTGGTGTGGAATGGGATTATAACATTGAAGATGACATTGAAACTCTTCACACTGATGGACCTCTACATGATCCTGTTATTGTTTTGGTATGTGGTATTCCAGGCTCACTATTTAGTTGGAAAAGTTATAATTTTGTTTTTAACTTCCCTGAAAACACTTTTACCTTATACATTGAATATTTAGTTGGTTGTTTTTCTTTTAAATAATTCTATTTGTCTAGGGCAAAAATTGTCTAAATGTATTTGAGTTTATTTTTGAACTATCATTCTGTTCCACAGGTTAGACAACTTTATAGAAAATATATAGTAGTCAAAATCTTAAGGGTGAATGATTGGCAATCATAAGCTCTCTCTCACTTTTATATGATTACACTGCACAGGTGTCTTGTCTTAGAATCTGCCATTTAACCTCCAGGGAAGGTGGCCTTGAGTCTGCCTATCGGGAGTGGTGTGGACACAGGGGACAATAGGCTGGAGTGATAAGGAGATCTGTAGCTAGAATGAGGGTTGTGGATGAGCAGTGCTCTGTCAGCATGATCTTCCTTTCCTGTCCGAAGGACTGGAACCCCAGGCAGGGAGGCCCAAAGCATCATGGGGCCTAGGCTGTCTGGAGTGGAGAGCACTAGGTCTCTTGCCAGCATTCGATTTGTGAATGCCATTTTAAAGACAAAGGCTAAGGGGGAAAAAGAGAACAAAACCCAGATAACCACATCTTTCATTTTAATGGCTTAGTATCACTTGATTTCTCAAACAAAAGCTGTTTCTAAAAGTTTAAAATGCCAATGAATGGCGCATTTTCCCCTTGTATAATTAATATAATCCTATAAAAGCTACATGGAAGTCAATAAAAACTAAGTTTTTTAGGAAAAGAATTCTTTGCTGTATTCAAAATTTTAAAAGCAAATATAATTGAATATTATTTGCTATATTTTTAAAATTAGAATCTTTATTTCATCTTCAGGAAAACAGACTTATACACCATTTTACGGAAAGAGGTCATGACTTGAACATGCAGTATACAGCAGACAAAACTCAGCTAGTAAAAACTTAGGGAAACTAAACTTTACTTTTTATCAAGTAAACAACAACTAAAACAACACTCCTTTACCCATTCAATTAGTAAAGATGAAAATTATATAATAAGTAGGTGCTGAACTGGGGCCTTTCATATACTGTCTCAATTTGAGAGTAATAATTTTTCTAACCATTCTGAAAAGCCACTCATCTGTCAAAAGAATGATAAGAAGTGTTTGTACCCTTTTGCCCCCTAAGGAAAATAAAGAATTATCATAAAGGTGGGGATAAATTCTAATCAATACAAATGCTTATTAAGTAGATAGTTAAATAATGCACCCAGCCATTAGGATTAAACACTGTGCTGGCATTTACAATTGTGTTTCCAAGTAATATTTACTATTTTTTGGAACTGTGTATAACACATTTAGTGAAACAGGCAAGTCCAGAAAGAGTGTGGATGTGCATGAGTGTGTTCACACATACACACGGTATGCAAATATCTTAAGGGTATATCCCAAAATAATAGGAGTAACTTCAGTTTTCTCTGGTTTAGTAGAATTATAGGTGATACTTTTGTGCTTTTTTATAATTTACATTTTCTGGAAAGAACTTTAATTTTTATCATCATAATAAAACTTTTTAAAGAATCATTTTAAATGCATTAAGGAGATACATAACTTAATGAAGTTTATAGTGAATCTCATTATAAAGTTATTTACTTTTATAATACAAACTTACTCCTCAATGTATATATTTTTATTTTTGTGGTTGAAGTTTTAGATAATTGAATTTTTTCTTAAACAGAACACTTATACTTTAGTTGAAATAAAAACATATTTTTAGAAACAACTTGGAAGTCTTCCCGTTTCAGTAAGAGCAATATTCAGAAATATTTAAAATTTTCATTTATAATTTAAAACTTTCTCGGGTGATTTACATATACCTATCTGTGTGTGCGTTAGATTATACCTCAGGAGAACGACACCCGCTCTAGCCTGACATATAAGTACATCATCCACGAAGACTCCGCACCTACGATCAACAACAACAATGTCATCCAGGAAGAATTAGACACTTTTGAGTGGGCTTTGAAGAGCTGGTCTCAGTGCTCCAAACCCTGTGGTGGAGGTAACAATTGAACACATTTTATTACATTACAAAGTAATCATATTAAACCAGTGTTCCTGCTTTTCTGCCTTAAGGATTGACTCCAACTGGGGCCATGTCTGAGAATATAACTAAAGTGTCAACACAAAGCATTTTTACTGCAATTTCAGAATCTACAAAGGATAGGAATCCATTTATGAGAACAGTAGACCTTCTTAAACTCCTCTTGCCTTTTCCCTGAGTTCCTCCCGTCTCCTATCACGTAGCCGTGCCCCTAGTCACTCCACTCTTCTTAAGCTCTCCCAAATTTAGGCTCTTCTGGTGCTTGCCTTCTTTTCCACTTTTATTTTCCATACCTATACATTTCTATTCTAACACTGTTAATAACAAAGGAGTTACTAGTTGCAGTATGTACCAGACACAGTTTTAAATGCTTCATATATTAATGCATGAATACTCACAATGCCTCTGTGAAGTCGCTGTTATTATTAGCTCCATCGTATTAGTGGGGAAAGTGAAGCACAGGGAAGGTAAGTAATTTGCCCAGGTCATAAGATACAAACCCAGGCTTCTAAGCACATGCTCTTACTACATTTTGCTGCCTCTCTGCCCTCCCCAAGGTAAATCCAGTAAGCTCTTCTCAAGGTTTCTCCCATCATCCATTCTTCTCATTCTGTACAACAGTGCTCCAGAGCTGAGCTGGCCAAAACAGAATTCTCCCCGACGGGCAGGAGAAGGCCAGGCCCCCTCACAATAATGATACGGAATAATGGAAAACAAAAGATTATTGATTGTATGATTTCAAAGTCAAGAATATATTTCTAAAGTGGTTTTTTGGGGAGGGATATAGACAAAGTGTTGTAGTTAATTATGTAAAATGACTATTTAAGATGTCGATTTAATTTGGACCCTCCCTTCTGCTTGCACCCTCAATATTGACTTGGTCACCAGATTTGTCATATACACCTTTTTAATATCTACCACACCCATCCCTCCCTTACCAGCTTCCTTCCCAATTTTGGAAGGGAAGGTTATTGCAGAAGTCTCTTAGTCAACTAACTTTTGACTTTTCTTCTCTTCCTTTGTTTCTAGGGTAATCTTTCTTGAATGAATTAATAAGACTAATGAATGAGTATAATTATATTATTTCCTAGATTCAAGTCCTTTAGTCTCCCAATATGTTGCCCTGAAATACGTCCTTGCCAGGTGAATAACCGGAATCTAACCCTTAGGACACAGGTGGCAAACACAAGGCCCGGGGGCTGAATCTGGCCTCCACTGTGTTTTATTCGGCACTTCACCCTGTTTCTGCCCAGCAGCAGTGCCAAGCTCTCGCTTAACTGTTAAGGAGCAGTTACATTTATACAGTCCTAAAATTACATTCTGCCCTTTGAAGGCAACCGCGAGGCTGACGTGGCCCCCAGTGAAAGTAAGTTTGACACCCCTGCCTTAGGAGAATATTAAATAAACCCAAATTGTGGGACATTTTTTAAAAACAACTGGCCTGTACACCTCAAATATATTAAAGATAAAAAGTCTCAAACCCTGATTAATCTGATAATTCCATGAAAACTAAATATTCTTGATTGGAAAAGCATTACTATACAGAACATTATACGGGCAATGGAAAATTTTTGAGTATGGTAAATATATAATAGTATTATATATGCATTAAATATCCTGATTTTAGGAATTATAGTGCAGCTATGTAAGAAAATGTGCTTGTTATTAAGTGATAAATGAAGTATTTAGAAAGGTGTCAGCAAATTTATTCCCAAATGGTCCAGCAAAATTTCGCATATTAATTATGTATTAGAATTATAGCGTCATTATAATTAATGTATATAAATATATATCTATCTCAAATATGGTGACATGGTAACACAAGATTAATCTAGATGCAAGACATACAAATGTTTATTGTGTTTTCCTTACAATTTTCTTTAGGTTTGAAATTTTTTTAAATAAAATTAATTATTCATAAATATGAAAGCTAGCAGTTGAGATCTTTCATAATTTCCTGTGACCTTCAGAATAAATTCCAAACACTTGTCTGGCACTCAAGGCTTTTATATTGGATCCTTTCCTATCTCTTCATTCATTCCTATTCATTTCCTACCAGCTTCAGTCATTCAGAGGCCTGCAGTTTCCTGTGTAATTTCCTTTGCTTGGAGTATTGTTTTGCTTTATTCCCTTTATGCAGTACTATTTGAACCTTAAGATTCTGCTCGAGGAAGTACTAATCTTGTAAGAGTTCCATCCCCTTCTCCAGCTAAATTAGACTTTCCTATGTTCCTTTGGTGCCCCCTGCAGTAAATTATGTGCATAGCTCTGTAAAAGCCTCAGTCATGGAGTATTGTCACAGTGGTTTTCAAACCTGTCCCTGACACTAGATTCTGTATATTCAGAGTCCGGTTTATTGGCAAGTATACAGTTACTATTTAGCAATTTATAAAATTTATTAAGTTAATCTCTAAAAAGATAAGTTTTGTTTATATAATTTACTTCTGGACCTTCAGCACCTAGAACAGTGGCTGGCTTACTGTATGCACTCAGTAAATATTTGTCGAATGCATGAATGGATTACCAAATATATAACAGGATGAATATGTGATTTAATCCAAAGAAACGTATTCTCTCTCCTAGGTTTCCAGTACACTAAATATGGATGCCGTAGGAAAAGTGATAATAAAATGGTTCATCGCAGCTTCTGTGAAGTCAACAAAAAGCCAAAACCCATTAGAAGAATGTGCAACATTCATGAGTGCACACACCCACTGTAAGTACTTATATAACTCTGGTGCCCTGGGGACTGAGTAAAGTGGGTTTCAGTGTCTTCAGCGCTCTTTAATTTACTCAAAGCTAATAGGTATACCTGATTTCAGTAGTTACCAGGATTTACGTAAATCTGTAGTTCCCTGCCCTTTATCATATTCCTGCTCTTCAGGAACAACACTTTCAGCTATTATGCTTTGTTTGATAGCTGATACAACTGCTTCCATTTCTCCAACTAAAATGTTTCTGCTTTTGCTGCTTGACTTTTTTTTTTGGGGGGGGGAGGTTTTAGACACTATGTATATTGAACTTCCATTGTGGCAAGGAATGATTTAGTGCAGTCCTTCTCCAAACACATACCCACAGCCCACACTTCTCCCTCCCCAGTACTTTCAGTATCGGTGTAGCCTGTCTTTTACTGATATTAATGTTCAGAGTTTGTATTATTCCAAGGACATGCATCTTTCTTACAAGTTGAGACATCTAGCATCCTCCTATTGTGTTTCTTTTTTCTAAAATTTTGTTTCTTCCAGAGTTCATGAATGTCTTGATTTTTATATATTTATTACTGCTTTTCACTAGTTTGTCTCCAGCCTTTTTTTCATGAGTAGCAATCTCCTCTGACAACTAAATACTAAACACTCAAGTATCTTCTTAGAGACCTCTCTGGGAGTTCTGTGTGCTCCAGCTCAGCCTTGGGCACCACACGGCTTTCATGATGGGGTTTGTTTCACCACCTTCTAGCCAGTCCTGTTGCCTGCATTCCTTGTCATCTTACCTCTTGCTATAGTTATTTGTTCTGGTGGATCATATCTTTCAACAGCTTCATTTAAAAAGTATATACAAATTAAAAACTTTCATATAAGAATTAAATTCTTCTACACCCAAGAAAAACATAAGTTAAAGTAGAAGGGTATATAAGAAGTCTTTCTTCTACTCTCACTCTTGATCATTTGTACACACACTTAATTGGAAACTATAATGTATTTCCCTCTGAATTTTGAATCCATTGTTCCATTGTTTTCCAGACTCCAGTCTTGCTGTAAACAAGTCATTTGACATTCTGCTACCCAGTGCTTTCTCTGTGACCCATTTTTGTCATCCTAAGTTTGTAGGGTCTTTTTGTTCCCAGTGTCCTGAAATTTCACAGCCTTGGTGCTCATCTTTCCTCATCCATTATGTTATGTACTTACAGACTTTTTAAAACATGAAAGCAATATTTTTCATCTCTGGAAGATTTTCTTGTATGTTTCTTTGAAAAAAAAGTCTTCTATTGGTCTTTTTTTCCCAATGTTCTTTCTTTTGGAGATATTTGTAGTGAGGCTTTCTAGGAAGATTTAATTTAATAAAATTAAATCTAGATTTAATTTTAGAATTTCTAGATTCTAATTTAATTAAATTAAAATTAATATTTTCTCACATTGTTTATTGTTCCACATGCTGAATTTTTCATTTTTGCTTCTATGTTAATATTCATGAATTCTGTTTAGATCTTCACATTTTCACTTTTCAAGGCATTTGTTTATTTCACAAATGTAATAAATCATTTTATCTCTTTAAAAATATTCAAGATTTTTTCCTATTTTGTGGGTTATATCTTTTGAGTTACTCTCTTCTGTTTCTCTTTCCCCACCTTCATCATTTGCATTAGAGGATTTCTGCCTTTGGGGGATTGTTGGCTATTCACACATATAAAAGAATGCAGGATTAAACAGGGTGATGGGAAGCTTGCTTTTGATCAAGACTTTGCTGGTGGGCTTCCCTATAAGATGAGCTGGCTGGGTTATTTCACTGGAAGACCCTAAATGATTTGTATTTTCAGGGCTTTTCTAATGGAATGATCATTAGATTCCATAGAACAGAATCAGCTTCCTGCTAAGGGGGGGTAAGCCTATGGTATAGGTAACTAGTTCATCTTAGCATTCCGTATGTGGGTTTTTACATCATCCCGTTTTCAGTATAGTTTTGTTCTCTGTAGTCTCTTGACTATGTCTGTTACCCAAAAGGTAAAAATCTGGCTCACCTTCTACAGAGGACAAACCTCAAGTCTACTGCAGCTTCACGGGAGGGGCGATCACCCAGTGTGGTCAAGGATTAGGCCTAACTGCCTCCAAGCAGACTTTCCATCGTCCCCTCCGTGTTCAGCCCTGCCATCCATCACCCCTGCGTTCACAGTTCGCACTTCCTGCTGCAGCCACAGTTTCTGCAGATGTCTGGAATTCTATGTCATCAGTTTATCAGCTCCTACTGCTAACTTAAACTTCATCCTTCTTGTGGCTACTGAATTAGCAGCCATACACCTATTTTCTAGGTTCCAAAATTATCTCGTGATGGCTTTTCTTCCAAGTTTTTTGCCTTTGTTGTTTTCTGTTTTTCTCCTTCACTGCCATTTTAGGAATTTCAAGAAGGAGTAACAGCCATAATTGTCTGTGTGTCTCATGTAATTTCCATCTTCTGATGAGGGTCACTACTGGGGCCTTCAAAGTTGAACACAATGGCTTTGTTGCCAGAATACGTTTTACTGCCTGCTTGATAAGCTAGAGCAATCTTAAACTGTTAATACCATAGACTGCTAAGGTTTTAGCATGGATGTGGTTTGATGTCCTATATATATGTAAAGAAAAAACAATTGCAGAGGAAAAGTAACTTTAGAAAGGCTAAATAGCATGCCTCAATGACTTTCTGACAGATTGATAAAGCAGATGCAATTGATGGGCACAGCCCTTCGGGACCTGGTAACCACGTGTAATAGAGAACTGTCTGTGATACTGTACACTCGGCTGACTTGGGGAGCACTGGGGGCCTTGACATTGACACTCGTAGTTGGCAGTGTCCTGTGGGAAGTCTTTCTGAACACATTGTTTTGGGAATGTTTCTTCCAGGTACATTCAAGCCCTGATTGCACACAGATTTCACCTTTGTGTGAGACAGTCTTCATGGCCACAGTTATCTCAGAAAATTAAAACATGAGTAAATTCATGATTGTGTGAAAAGGCAGCAGCAGCCACATAAATTTGTATTAGCAAGAATGAGATAAATTCCTTTTTCATTTTCCTTTCAGATCTTTAACACCATTAGGCAATGTCACTGAGCTGCTTTGGTACTGTTTTGAAAACTACCATCATGCCTGAACCTAACTATGCACCCTTTAGATGAGTTTTAGAAACCGTCTGTCAATCCTTGTTTAGGAAGGGACCAGCTTTTGGAGTCACTGGGTGGCAGAACAATACTAAGCCATTAAAAACAGGAGCGTCAGGCCTATTATTGTTGGAAAGTTCTAAGGCTTTTTAATGGTTCGATACACCCATCTTTCTGAAAGGGCTCCCTGTACCGCCATGTGCCCCACTGGTTGCACGTCACTCAGAGAGCAGACCGGGCTAGGCTTGCAGTGCAGGAGGATGCACACACTACATCCCAGTGACCATGTTCGATCTTAACCCCCGTACCCACAGCTGGGCAGCGGAAGAGTGGGAGCACTGCACCAAAACCTGTGGGAGTTCCGGCTACCAGCTGCGCGCTGTGCGCTGCCTCCAGCCTCTCCATGATGGTACCAACCGCTCTGTGCACAGCAAGTACTGCGTGGGTGACCGTCCCGAGAGCCGCCGGCCATGTAACAGAGTGCCCTGCCCAGCCCAGTGGAAGACGGGGCCCTGGAGTGAGGTGAGTGTGCCAGTTCTGTGTGCACGTGTGTGTAAGCATGTGAAGCATATTTGCTTTTGGCTTAAATATCAGTCAGGCTTTGTGTGAATCAAGAAACTAACATTTTGTAATCATTAAACACCTGAAGGTGTTAGAAAAAATTAATATTTTAAAACAGTGTTTGTATTTAAGATAAGTTGGTAGAGGCAAAGAGGAGTCTAAAGGTGATGGATCTAACATCGTTGTTGTCTTCACCATTCCTACGGGGGGAATTCCAAGCCCTCACACTCAGTGCAGGGCCCCGCTCCATTTGGCGCCTTGCTAACTCTTCTTTTTAAAATTTTGATATAATTGATGAACATCATATTAGTTTCAGGTGTGCAAGGTAATGACTCGACATTTGTATATGCCACAAGAAGTCCTACACTGACTCTCGTATTCTTTGTTATTCCCACTCTTTGACCCAGTTTGAGTAAAATTCTAACTGTTCCAAAAAGATTTTGCCATTTAGAGCTGCCTACTTTTTGGCAGGTTGGCCCTTCACCCTCCTCCTCTCATCTGCCAAGGGTCACCTCCACAGCCCAAACTACCACCTTCTGGGTGCCTTTCCCAGAGTCCTTCCTGTGCATTCCAAAGGCATATTGCTCATGGCAGAGTATTGTTAACTCCTGTCCTTGAGTCTGTGCTTACCACTAACACCCCCACTTCTCAAGAACCATGTGCTTTGTTTCCGCGGGACCCAGCCAGTGCCTATGAAATGATATTTGTTTGGTGACTGGCAGACTCAATGTTGGGGTGCCCAAGTTAACCCCATGTCTTTGCTGTTTGTAAATACTCATAATGAGGATTCATAGGAGAAGAGATAGAGAAGGAAAGGGCATCAAAAAGCAGCTCAGGAGGAGGCAGTGGAGAGCAGATCCAAGAAGGAGGGACACGCAAGGGAAGGTCACCTGAACAGACCGTAATGATAATTCACGTTCCTTTCCCCTCAAAGCCCTAGAATGAGGGCCCCTCCTCTGTAGCTCCTATCTAGAACAGCATAGACATTTCTGAGCATAGTTTTAGAGCAGTTAACCCCTTCATTAAAAAAATGAATTTATGAGAATAATGATTCCAAAGAGGTTGAATCAACCCAAGTAGCCTGTCAGTAAATCCTGCCACCTGTAAGGAAGGTGAGAAAATGGCAAGGTCAATACCATGATCAGCCCCTTAAAAACAGCACCACTATGCACATATTAACATTATAATACCAATGGCTTCTTTCGTAGCAAATGCTTATTACATGCCTGGCATAATTTTTACATACCCTGTCTCCTTTGCCATCATTTAATTCTACAACCATCCTATGAGGCAAACATTATTATTCCAGCTTTCAAAGAAAAAAGCAACATGCCCAGACTGGTAAATGATGGAGTCGGAGTACAAACCTGGGACTGTCTGTCTCCAAACCCCAGAGCTGTGTGCACATGTGTGTGCATATGCATGTGAGCATGGGGGAAGGTGCTGGTGCAATAAACAACCTTTGTCTCCGTAGTGCTCCGCCACCTGCGGTGATGGGACAGAGGTGAGGCAGGTCCTCTGCAGGGCCGGAGACCACTGCGATGGGGAGAAGCCTGAGGCCGTCAGAGCTTGTCAGCTGCCTCCCTGCAATGGTAGGTGTGACGCTCACTGCTTTCACTGCTCCAACAACCGTTTGTTAGCATCACAAAGCAGAATTTCCTTTCAGGACAAGCTCTGGAATTTCTATTTGCTTATCAAAAATTAAGTCTAATACAATTCTTAAGAATGGCATTGCAGGCCAGCCCGAGTTATGCTATCTCCACAGCCCCCCACGGCGCGAGCCAGGGGTGAGAGCTGTGGCACATGCGCACAGCGTCTGTCAGCTTGTGTTTCTGAAAAGGCTGCTGTTTCTCTCTCTCCTCACTGGTTTTCTCTTTCTGTATAACCTCCCATCATTGTAAAACCATAATATTGCAGAAGGTTTTGAAATGTTTTTATGAAAATTATTCCATATAGACATGTGGATGATAAATGCTGCTCAGTAGGCCATTTCCAATATCTGCCCACCCATTACATGCACGCCCCCAGAGTAATTTCAGAATAGACACCTCACATACATGCAAAAGTTTGCCTAACCTACTCTCTTCCTGTAGGTTACAAGAGTCGATTTAATTTCAAAATAGTCATTGATTTGCTACTGTAAAACAGATAAAATGTATAAATTGGATGGTTTCGGTTTCTGTCACACTGTCTCCTTCCTCCTTCCTCCTTTTCTGTGCTGGCTCCATTTACATCGGTCTGTCCTCCCTGCCTGTTCTGCCTCTTCCCCTCCATACCTTCTCCTCTTCCTCCCTGCTTCTCTCTTCCCTCTCTCATTCATTCTCTCCCTCTGTCTTCACCTTACCCTGCCCCCCAAGCTTCCTCTGAAATGCAGTTGTACTAAATCTGTGCCTGATGACAACTGTGGACACTGCCCTGCCGCACTAGTGAGACTTGGGACTAAAGAAGTCTCCTTCTTGTTGGCCTACCACATCATAATTCAGCCACTGGTGGAATACTGCTAAGTGCTAAATAGTGTTTTCTTTTTTTCAAGAAAATTTCCAAAGCACTATTTCATCCAGTGTGTGATTTTTTGAGGAAATTTCAGGCTTCAAGTCTTTTGAACCTTGTAAATTTTAATATGCAACGTGTAGTAGCAGGAACAGGAATGACCATGAGAGGGAGACAAAGGACCTGTACAGGGTTCGGCACAAATAATGCCCATCTTACTGCATGATCTTTTATTACAAAATCCTAAACATGTACTTCTGTAGTGTAACAAAATCACCCTCAAGCATACCATATGACATTTTAGGTGAAATGCTCAAATTAAAACTGTAAATTTCCACACTTAATTATTGCCCTACCAACCACACTCAAGCAGGCGCTACTTCTGCTGGACCCTGTGTATTCAATCATTTTTCTCTGGAAAGTATATTTGAAATCTTAATACATAAGTCCAAAAAAACAAACTTTATTCTGAAGCTTTAAAGCTCAGGTGCCCTAATATTTTATTCTTATGTGAGCATTACTGCCAGGATGCTAAAGACTCTGTGAGGAGGCTCTACTGATCTTAATAGCTGATAGAGCTATTGATTTCTGCAAATAGACCTAATTATTAGCAAGAATTTGCTTGATTTTCTTCCTTTAGCCAAAAGAACACGTTTTTATTGGAAAACAGGTGCTGGTGAGAGGATGTAATAACCATGTCGATGATGTCACTTACTTTTAGCTGCTCTGAAACAGTTCTGAGAGCTCCGAAGGGCCACTTAGTTCTTCCATGTATCAGTCAAGCAAGTAATACTTCCCAGCAGAGTCTCCAGCTGCAATTAGAATCAAATGGCCTTTTGAGACACTGTGTAAAACACTTTTCCTGAACTTCCTATAATGATCTGGGCATGGAGTGAGAAGGCTAAAAAGCTTTCTTAATTCTAGTGATTCTGCCCTATGAGCCCTTTTCTAGGCGCATTTGTACTGTACTATTTACTGGCACCATTAAGTCCTTCCCATCTCTCTCGAGGCAAATTACCATAAAACAAATGTACTCCTTTGCTTTTATTTTTTTCAGACTTTCTCTCCCTTTTCCCTCTCCCATACTGCAGCATATTCTGGCCTAATTAGACCCGGGCTGGGAACCTGTCCCTGCAGTACCAAGCTGCTCACACTCAGAGACGGGAGCCCCTTGTGCGAGCTTCTTCAACTCAAAGAGCTGGCCCACATAATTTAGAGGGTTTAAAAGACTTGGAACCAGAACAGGGGCGTTGGAGGTGAAGAGTCAGAGGGAAAAGAGAGTACAGTGTCAGATAAGGTCCATTGTCCTAAGGCGACTTAAACTCAGGAAGAAGGAAATAGTTTCCTTCTTTTGAAATACAGGCACCGAAAAAGTCATTTAGGTATGGGGACGAATTGATGTTTGAGAAGAAACTCATTAAGGTGATTCTCAGGCATTCATACCATATTAGAAGATTATCTTAGCTAGTATAAATTACTGAAACACATCATACTATACAATAGATCTGTGAATGTCAGGCAAATGTAAGTCATTCCACAATTTGAGACATGGGCATAGTTTTGTAACTAATAGGTGATATTATAATTTCAAATACATAATAAGCAAGGGTGATATTTTTAACCCTCCTATGGGCCTTGCCAACTCACCCTTCTTTTAATTTTTTCAAGCTTGAGAAAAAAGACCTTTTACTTTCTATGGCAAGTTACATAGCAGGTTCCTTACCTAGTAATATAGTTTTACCCAATACATCTAATCATGGTGTCATCTTGACTTTTTCTTTGGTAATACCTGTTTAAGATTGAATTTGTTCCAGCAGATCTTTAGTATAGATCCCGATTGTAAATTTAATGTACAGTCTACTCAATTAAAAATACAGAAGTACCATCAAATAAAATAGATACCTCTCTAGATCCTAAAAATATTTGCTAATCCTATTTTCTCATTAGAAGATCAGCTGAATGTTCCTCGTAGGTACCCTCAAGTGAAGATTCCTGATGGAGATATTAAAATGGTGGTCAAACCAAGTGCTTTGCACATAAAGAACAACTTACTTCAATGAATTATCCCAATGCTGATATTTGTGATTCAAAGGCTCATATGGACAACTCCCATCAGTGCCTGGTTTTACTTAAATCTGTTTATAGTCATAAATAGTTTTAATGTCTCTCCTCCTTATCTTTTATATTTAGATGTATTTCTTTTAATGTTTGCAGATGAGCCATGTTTGGGAGATAAATCCATATTCTGCCAAATGGAGGTGCTGGCGCGATACTGCTCCATACCAGGCTACAACAAGCTGTGCTGTGAGTCCTGTAGTAAGCGCAGTAGCACCCTGCCACCACCATTCCTTCCTGAAGCTGCTGAAACTCAGGATGATGTCATCTTTAACCCCGGTGACCTCGACCTCACTGGATCTCTAGTGATGCCTACATCTTTGGTTTCGTACTATTCAGAGACTCCTGCTGTGAGGAAGAAATCTTTGAGTAGGATCTCTTCAGGGGGAGGTCCAAACGCACATGCTGCTTTCAGGCCGAACGGTAAGCCTGATGGTGCTAACTTACCCCAGCGGAGTGCTCCACACACAGGGAGTGGGGCCATGGGACAGGTCTCCTCTGCCACCAGGAGTGGCCCCCTCACTTCATCTTCACCAATGGCTGCTGCCCCCTCCCTTGTAGTCCGTGATTCAATAGGTGCTTCTTCTCAGGCAAGAACCTCAAAGAAAGATGAAAAGATGATTAACAAGAGACATCCGATAAGCTCATCCCCCTTGGAAAGATGAGAAGGTGAACCTAAAAGGCTAGAAATCAGAGGGGAGCCTGGCCGAGCTCCCTCTACCCAGTGGTGCGTATTGCTTAATTAAAGTGAAAATCTCCATTGATCATCAACTCATTTTACCTGTAAAGGGAAGAACAGAAAGTGCTGGTTCACTCTCTAGTGTCTTTCCTCCTCCTTTTTGTTCTGCATTGACTAATTTACCAGAATTCATTGGAAGAAAGCACCAAAGAGTATTAACAGAAGGAAAAGTAAGTTGCTAAATACGCTGGTCACTCTCTAAAGCAGAAAAGGGACTGGAACCAATTGTGCATTTCAGCTGATTTTTTGTTTAAAAACAGTAAAAGTGAAAAAAAAAAGAGGTGCCAATGGTTTACATCTTAACAAAACATTTTGGGAATGGAGCAAAGAATTCGTAGACTTGTATTCCTATTTATCTATATTAGAAATATTATATGAGCAAATTTGCAGCTGTTGTGTAAATACTGTATATTGCAGAAATCAGTATTATTTTAAGAGATGTGTTCTCAAATGATTGTTTACTATATTACATTTCTGGATGTTCTAGGTGCTTGTCATTGAGTATCACCTTATTTGACATTTATGGGTTGATTTTCAAAGCAAAATATTACAAAGAGGAAGGATTGAAGCTATTGACAATACAAGGGGTTTTGTTTAATCAACAGTATGATACCTAAATTACAGAAAAAGAAAAAACAGATAAGCTGCATTACCCTCCATCCTTTAATAAAAAGAAATGGGACTATGGTCACAGGGTCCAGAGTCCAGTAAATGAACCGTCCTAACAAAAACTGAAACCCTCTTACCAGGACCTTGATATGCACCACTGCAGTGTCCTATGTTCTTGTGTTGTTTTTGTTTTCCGGTAGTTGACATATCCAAGAAAAAGCGTACTCAGTGTACTGTAATAATAACAAAGGAATATGTATTGAGATAATTTGTATGTTGGTAGCTGAGAACAGTATCATTGAACTAGAACTGATGCTCAAGTACAGTAAGGCTTTGGAAGCAAGTTCAAAAAAGCATTTGTCAATGGTTGCAATATTTATTGTCTGCATGGTTCACATACCCAAATGTTCACAACCACAATGCATCTGACTGCAATAATGTGCTAGTAATTTATGTCAGTGGTCACCCTACTTACAGTGAAGCCAGAAATGCTCTCTCCAGGGAGTAGATGTAAAGTACTTGTATATAGAATTAAGAACTGAAGATATTTATTAAAAGTTGAACTTTTCTTGATAGTATTTTTATGTACTAAATATTTACGCTAATATCAATGACATATTTTGTTAAACTAGAGAGACATAATTAGAGATGCATGCTCTGTTCTGTGCCTAGAGGAGAAATTTAAGCAAACTACAACAGCCAAATCGAAGAGCTTAAACTGAACAAATTTGATGTTATGCAAACCATTTGCATTTTTGAAGTAATTGAAACAACGCTGATTTGTTCCCCTTCAGTGAAACAAAATCATATGAACTCAGCTAGCTTTTTATGAAATAGTGAACTAGATATATTTGTTTTAAAGTATGTGAAAAACATACACACTTCATGAATTATACTTCAAAGAAAAAAGATGTATGTCAGCATAATGTTTTTGAGGTCAGTTCCTGAATTATGAAGATATGTTAACCTTTCAAAGCACAGAATGTGCAAGCACTTTTGCATTTTAACCACGGTAAACAGCTTCACCTATGGACTCTATACCTCTAAGGAATCGCTGCTACTTCATGCAAGACTTTTGAAAGTCAAATAAATTAGGTGAATTCCAGGTCATAAAATAATCCCTGAGCCTCAAGTAGAAGTCATTCCCCTTCCCAAGTTCTCCTGAATGAATTCTCTCTAGTTTGCTTGCATGTGTGTACATCTGGTCCACAAGGGAATATAGAGAAAGATGGTCACCCACATAAACCTCCCACAAAGATGTACACATTCGTATACTTCTGACCTTCAAGCTTCATTTTCTACTAAGCTAAAAATTCTTTTTTTTTTTATCAAAGTGTACACTACTGATGCTGTTTGTTGTATTGGGAGCACGTAGCAATAAAAATGTTAAAATACAGATTTGACTCCATCTAGCTTTTATCACTAGATTCATCACTGAGTAATTAAAAAGTGTTCTTTCCTCCTACAAAATGAAATATCAAGTCCATTTGCTATTATTGGGATTTTCTCTAAAGAGGTTCAGGTAAAGTGACATTATCTCCCAGTTTCACATCAGGATGTATCATAATAGTTTCGAAGGAAAATAAGGTGTTATAGGGTACGGTTGAAGGTGATTTCACAGAACTATGAAGAGACAGAAAATGGTGTATATATAAGAAAGAAAAGCTGCCCACCCACTTTGAACCCCGATTGCCTGAGGATCAGTGGGAGCAGTGTGGGGAGGAATGGGACATTACATTAGAGGGCCTTGCATTATGTAACAGGGAGATACTACATACAACTTCAGACCTGAATGATCTTAGGTGACCTGCCTAGATTTCCATTTTCTTATCTGTAAAGTGGGAGATGGAATTGAAAAACACCATTGTGTGATGGCTATGAGAAATGGTGTACGTAAATCTGTGAGCACACAGTACCTCATAATAGTATCGCCATGCTTATATGGTCCCAGCTTCCTCCTTGTTGTCTTCATTATGTGACCAAACCACGGCTTTCTTCTGGGGTCCCCAGGTAGTTGGAACCATGGTCATTGTGTCTCATTGATGGTGGTAAAAAAATTTAGCTGTAAAAATGATCTCCAGTCATTGATTTTGAAGATTTGTAGCTGATTATACTTACTCTCCTTTTGTAACATTAAATAGTCAAACTAAGGAATGACTATTAATTATATATTTCTATAAAGGTAGTCAAAGGTATAATTCCTCAAAGTATTAGAAAAGTATTTCTCAAATATGTAAATAAATGTATTTTGCAGAAATATCAAGTCATTCTTCTACACACATTTTATACTTTCTTCATGAAGAGGCTGCTTAAATATAAGATTAAAAAATAAATTGAAAAATGATAAAAACAGATAAGCTATAACAGACATCACTTGTTTTAAAAAGTACTAAATAAAAAAGTTAAAAAGTAAATACTTAAAGTAAAACTGCTTAAAATGCACAGGCACTATAGTACATCAACTAATATCAGAAAACAGTTGTCTGAGGCCCAGACACTTCTGAATAAATCACTTAGAGCTAGAGACACAATTTAAAAAATAAAATACTCATCCAGCAAAACATAATATACGGAAATAAACTTATCAAAAACACAAATTCTAAAACAAAACAAGATGCTATAAATTTCTGCAAATCATCACAGAGATTGCCTAGGAATCAAAATTACCCCATATTTGTCCCCCATTTTGATGTATGGCAAGTGCATAAAAACTCACTTTACTTCTGGCCAAGATGGAGGCGTAGATAGACACTGTGCCTCCTCCCATAACCAAAAGAAGGAAAACAACAAATTTAAAAACAAAAACAGCCAGAACTAACAGAAAATCGAACTGTTTGGAAGTCTGACAACCAAGGAATTAAAGGAGAAATATTCACCCAGACCAGTAGGAAGGGTGGCAAGGCAGAGGCTGGCAGACTAGGCAGTCCCACATTCCTCCTTGCAACCCAAGAGTTCCAGGGCTGTGGAAAAAAAAAAGCCTCAAAACCTCTGACTGAAAAAACCTGTGGGGGTTGAGGCAGCAGGAAAAACTCCCAGCCTCACAAGAGAGTTCCTTGGAAATACCCACAGGGTCCTAGAATGTACACAAGCTCACCCACACAGGAATCAGCACCAGAAGGGCCCAATTTGCTGGTGGGAAGCCAGGGAAGGGAGTGAAATCTGGCAGAGAGTGGAGAAAACGCCATTGTCCTCTCTTGGGCCCCTCCCCTACAATCAATGTCACAACCAAGCATCTGGGTTGCCCCGCCCTGGTGAACACTTAAGGCTCCACCCTTTACTACCTAACAGGCACTCTGAGACAAAGAAAATGGCCCAAATGAAAGACCAGATCAAAGCTCCAGAAAAAATTTAACTAAGCAATGAAGAGATAGACAACCTATCGGATGCAAGTTCAAAACACATGGAAATCAGGATGCTCACAGAAATGGTTGAGTATGGTTATAAAATAGAGCAAAAAGTGAAGGCTATGTGAAGTGAATAAAGGAAAATGTACAGGGAACCAATAGTGATGGGAGGGAAACCGGGACTCAAATCTACAGTTTGAGCCAGAGAAAGAAATAAACATTCAGCTGCAATGAATGAAGAAGCAAAAATTCAAAAAAAAAAAAGAGCAAAAAATGAGGAGAGGCTTAGGAACTACAGGACAACTTTAAATATTCCAACATCCTAATCACAGGTTTGGAAGAAGAAGAGCAAGAAATTAAAAACTTACTTGAAAAAATAATGAAGGAAAACTTCCCCAATCTGGCAAAGGAAATAGACTTTGAGGAAGTCCAAGAAGCTCAGAGAGTCCCAAAGAAGTTGGACCCAAGGAAGCATACACCAAGGCACATCATAATTACATTACCCAAAATTAAAGATAAGAGCATCTTAAAAGCAGCAAGCAAAAAGGAGAGTTACCTACAAAGGAGTTTCCATAAGACTGTCAGCTAACTTCTCAAAAGAAACCTTGCGGGCAAGAAGGGGATGAAAAGAAGTATTCTAAGTAATGAAACTCAAGGACCTATATCCAAGATTACTCCATCCAGCAAAGCTATCATTTAGAATGGCAGGGCAGATAAAGTGCCTCCCAGATAAGGTCAAGTTCAAGGAGTTCATCATCACCAAGCCCTTATTTTTTGAAATGTTAAAGGGATTCATCTAAGAAAAAGAAGATGATCAAAAATATGAACGGTAAAATGACAACAAACTAACAACTATTAAAAACTGAACCTAAAAAAAAAACAAACACAAACTAAGCAAACAACTAGAACATGAACAGAATCACAGAAATGGAGATCACATGGAAGGTTATCAGTGGAGAGGTGGGGGAAAAGGTACAGGCAATAAGTAGCATAAATGGTACATACAAAATAGACAAGAGGAGGTTAAGAATAGTATAAGACATGTAGAAGCCAAAGAACTTCTATGTATGACCTATGGACAGGAACTGAGGGGGTGGGGAATGCAGGTGGGAGGGGGTATGAAGGGTGGAGGGGAGTAAAGGGGGGGAAATGAGACAATTGTAATAGCATAATCAATAAAATATATTAAAAAATAAAACCAGAAAAAAGCCACTCATCTATGTTGTGGCAACACTAATGTTACTACTTTAAAATTGCTGAATGACAAGGCTGCCCTTTTTCAGCCGGTTCATACTTTCAAACAAATTATTTGACCAATTAGTTTTAAATCACTTGATTTTTAACAATTCATCTGGGTCTGAGTAGTGAGATACATACACACACACACATTTATATATTTATATACATATACATTTATATATATATATATGTACACATATATTTTTTAACTCTACCAAATACCCAAAATTACTCTGATGTCAAGAACAAGGCGATTAGTTACAGCCATTGTTACTCACATCACAAGTGTTAATACCCTGCTCGGTAGAATCACTCCAAAAGCTTAAACCAAAATAACAAAGCTCTTATACAATCCACTACTGAATAAATGAGTGATGCTAAAATTAGAAATATATCCACACAAAGAACATTTCTGTTCAAATTAGCTGTTCAGAGACTCCCATGGAGAGACTCACTGGTAGTTCCAGTGAAAACAAACTTCTCTATGGTGCTACTTTCTATTTCCATGCTAGAGAGATAAGACTCCTAAACTTCCTAAGAAGTGACAGCACCCTGCTTAAGAGTGGGACACTAATGCCAGGCTGTGGGTTTATGCTGGTTCTGTAGCCAACTAATTGTGACTTGAGTGAATTACTTAGTGTGCCTAAGCCTCAGTTTTTCATCTATAAAATGATGACAATGACGCATACTTCATGGGGCTGTCTGTGCATGAAATTAGATAGTCCAGGAAAAGCAATAAAGATAGACTGACAGGCATTATGTTCAATAAAGATGTGCAATTACTTTACCTTTTTATGGATGACCAACAGACCTCAAAAGATTCAATTTATTATCTTTCCATTGACATGGTGTCAGAGTTATTTTATTGTGAATTGTATATTTCTTTAATTCTTATTAAGTTTATTGGCGTGACATTGGTTAATGAGGTTATATAAGTTTCAAAAATACCACTCTATGATACGTTACCTGTATACTGATTTTTTAAATCAAGGTCACAATTTCCAAGAAGTCCGCTCGGTCCAGAAGAAGTTGCAACACAAGATCCAAGGGAGATAGCTGTATGAACTATTACAATGTAAGAAGTTGTCATTTCATCATGGACAGCCTGGCAAAAGACTCCAGAGATCAAGGGAACTGCTCCTTCTGTGGTGGCATCATGCACTACAGGATATTGTCCACAGACTCTCTGCCACCACATCCTCCTCAATGGGTGACACGCTTCCTCTGGGGTCGAAGTGGGGAACTGGCTCTGGCATTACATGCTCAGGGAAGAAGGGCTCACATATGACTTCTGTAATTGAAGGCCATTATCCCTAGATTAGCAAGTATTTATGTGATCATCATGAAGTGAGCAGAAGTGTGCATTCTGAGAGACAGAATCTGAAGGCCATTTAGTTAAGCTGATCACGCTTCTTCCTGAGCTTGTTGTACCACCACGCACTACACAGGAATGTGTCCTGCTATGCATTGGGCACCTTGCTTGTCTAGATTGTCTAAATCAGAGGTGTCAGTCTTCTCACTCGTTTTCACTGGGGGCTACATCGGCCTCACAGTTGCCTTCAAAGGGCCAAATGTAATTTTAGGACTGTAGAAATGTAATTACTCCTTAACAGTTAAGGGAGAGCTCAGCGCTGCCGCCAGATAGAAATGAGGTGCTGGGCCAGATAAAACGTGGTGAAGGGAGGATTCGGCCCATGGGCCTTGTGTTTGCCACCTGTGGTTTAAATGATACACTGCATTATTCTTGTTTCTCTATTGGATTTCTCTCCTATTTTTAATATCTTCTCTCCTGTTTTTAATAAGATACTGCCTG